TTGCCCTCTTGTAGCGGGTCAGTGTGTTAATCTCCTTCTGATTCAAGCAGCTTTGCACTTTGTTTTTTGGAAAAAAACACCACTTCTATAAAAACACACAAGAAACAAACTCAAGTTTCAATTTAGTCACGAGCTAGCTACAGGACTCTGTTGCACACAAACTCCTGTCATGGGGGACTCTTCTCTATCAGCCCCTTGCCTCATTGTCAGATGTCCTTCAGTCATGTAATGTGCAGGACCTGTATTAGCAGAAAATTGGTATGTTGGATGTCCAGCTATGCCAGTCTCTTGGCGGGGATTGGAGTAGACGGTTAAATTAACGTCCATAGCCCCGTTCTGTCCGAAGTCCAAGGTGTTAGCAGCCACTGGGCGGTTCTGGTAGGCCTGATTGCCTTGGTTACCAGTAGAGGAGGAAGAAGTGGAGGAAGAAGTAGTCGAGGAAGACAGGGAGGTCATGGAGTGGTGACTATGGCCAACCTCCATAGAATCCTGCGTAGAGGAGCTATTTGTTGGAGAACTGTAGACCCTTGGCCTGGTCCGGTTGCCCAAGGCTTGTTGTCCATGGTGGTGGTGGTGATGGTGGTGGTGGTGGTGGTGATGGGAACTGTTTCCATGGTGATGATGCAATGCATTCTGTTGAGGGGCTACATGAAAGGTCGTTTCTTGAACAGGATGAGTTTCAACAGTGACTTGTGTAGGAGCTTCAGTGCCTGACCAACCAATGGGAGCAGGAAATTGCTGACGCACCTGTTAAGAACAGATTTTGAAACGATTTATTAAGAGGACCGTTTCCAAGCTTTAATCTTCTATAAAAAGCTACAACACTAGCATTTACATTAGTCAGAGAGAGGGTTTTGAAACTTTAATGTGTTAGACAGTTCTATAACACAAACTTCCAAATGTGTTCAAGAGTGAAAAATATTTTACTATGAAAGCTTCAATTTTTAGCAAGTTACACCACACTCATGTATTTTACTCACCACTTTCTTTCCCTGGGAGCACTGTTTATGCCAGGGGTCAGCAAACTTCTTCTGGAAAGGGCCGGATAGTAAATATTTCTGACAGGTCCAAAAGGCATTCTTTACTTCCCCCTAAAGCTCCTCCTCTCTCCAATCTTTCCTGTTTTAACAGAACCACTAGTACCCATCTAGCTGCTCAACCATTCCTCCATCCAAACAATCAGCAAGTACTGCTAAAGCTACCTCCAAAATAGAACCCAAATCTGGCCTCTTTTCTCCATCTCCACCACGACTACTCTATCCTACGTCACTATCATCTCTTGCCTAGACTAATAACAGCCTCCTAAATCAACTCCCATCTTGCATCCTTGCCTTTTTCCAAACCATTCTCCAAAGAGTAGCAAGAACAGTCTTTTTAAAACACAAATCCAAATTAGGCAAGAAAAAGAAAAGTCATCCACATTGGAAATAAAGAAGTAAAATGGTCACTACCTGCAGATGACGTAACATTATATTATATGGAAAACCCTAAAGACTCCGTTAGAAAACTGTTAGAACTAATAAATGAATTCAATAAGGGTGCAGGATATAAAATCAATACACAAAAATCGACTGCATTTCTATACACTAATAATGAAACAGAAAAAGAAAACAATCCCATGTACAACTGTATCAAAAAGAATAAAATATCAAGAAATAACTTTAACCAAGGAGGTAAAAGACCTGTAGAAGAGGAAGGTCTGGAAGAAGAAGACACAAATAAATGGAAAGATAGTCCATGCTCACAGACTGGAAGAGTGTAAGAATCAATGTTGTTAAAATATCCAAACTACCCAAAGCAATTTACAGATTCAATGCAATCCCCCACAAAATTCCATCATTTTTCAAAAAAAAGAAAAAAAATAGAATAATCCTAAAATTTGTAATCCACAAAGAAACCCAAATAGCAAAAGCAATCTTGAGAAAGAAGAACAAAGATGGAGGCATCATGCTCCCTGGTATCTAACTATACTACAAAGCTATAGCAATTAAAACAGTATGGTACTGACATAAAAACAGGTACATAGATCAATGGAACGGAAGAGAGACCCCAGAAATAAATCTACGCATATATGGTCAATTAATTTATGACAAAGGAACCAAGAATATACAATGGAGAAAGGACAGTCTCTTCAATAAATGGTGTTGGGAAAACTAGATAGCCACGTACCAAAGAATGAAACTCAACCACACTATCTTACAGCAAACACAAAAATTAACTCAAAATGGATTAAAGACTTGAATATAAGACCTGAAACCATAAAACTCCTAGAAGAAAACATAGGCAGTAATAAGCTCCTTGACATAGGTCTTGGTGATGATTTTTTGAATCTGACACCAAAGCAAAAGCAACAAAAGCAAAAATAAATAAATGGGACGACAACATACTAAAAAGCTACTGCCCAGTAAAGGAAACCATCAACAAAATGAAAAGGCAACTTACTGAATGGGAGAAAATATTTGTCAATCACATTATCTGATAACAGGCTAATATCCAAAATATATAAAGAACTGATAAAACTCAACAGCAAAAATCCAAACAATCTGATTGAAAAATGGGCAGATCTGACTAGACATGTTTCCAAAGAAGACATACAGATGGCCAATAGGTACAGGAAAAGAAGCTCAACATCATGAACCATCAGGGAAATTCAAATCAAAACCACAACGAGATATCACTTCACACCCATGAGAATGGCCATTATCAAAAAGACAACAAATATCAAGTGTTGGTGAGGATGTGGAAAAAAGGGAACCCTCATGCACTGCTTGGTGGGAATATAAATTAGTGCAGCCACTATGGAAAACAGTATGGAGGAGGTTCTTCAAAAAATTAAAAACAGAACTACCATATGATCCTGCAATTCCACTTCTGGGTGTTTATATGAAGAAAACAACAACAGTATCTTGAAAAGATATACGTACCCCCATGTTCATTCACTTCAGCATTATTTACAATAGCCAAAATATGGAAACAACCCAAGTAAGTGTCCACTGATGGATGAATGGATAAACAAAATAATCCAAAATCCATAAACAATCTGGCCAATGCTCATTTCTCCAACCTTTTCCTCTAGCCATCCTTCCTCTTGCTGCCTAAGTTCCTACTACACAGGATCTTCCTTCTATTCCTCTACCTAGTCAACATCTTTCAAAAGCCTCAGGGTGTTTGTACTTACTGTTCCCTTCTGCCTAGAATGCTCTGATTTATAATTTCTGCTTGGATGATTCTTTCTCCTCATTTCAGTTCCAGAGTCTTCCCTCACCACTCTGGCTAATGCTCCCCCAATTTCTGTGGCAGAGGTTCCAAATTGTCCTCAAAAAACATACTCTTCTTCCTGAGCATAAGGCTGCACTGTGCTTACTCCCCAGCCTCCCCTGTACTTAGACATGGCCATATGACTGTTTTAGTCAATGGAATATGAATGAAGGTTCGTATGTCACAGCCAGATCTGGCCCACAAAATACATCCCAAGTCCTTCTGCCTGCCAGATGCAGCAGACAACTAGGCCCTTGGGGATGGGGCAGTCATAAGATGGTAGGAACCCAGGATGTGGGAGAGAGCCACGCCACTAACCTGAATACCCACTCTGGACTATTACATAAAAAAGGAACTTCACATTCTTTAAGCTACCATATTTTGGGGGGTCTACCTGTTATCAGTTTGGTCTATCTGAATTAATACCTCCCACCCAACAAATCACTACTCTCTATTACATTATCCTGTCTTATTTTCTTTTTAACAGTTAATAGTACTTGCAATTTCTATTCATTTGATTCATTTTACTTATTTTCTGTGTCACGGTAAGCTCTAGGAAGGCAAAGCCTGTGTCTTTCTCACCAGTGGCTAGCACAGATCATTAAGACCACTCAACAAAGGTGGTCTCAGAATCAAAATTCAAGAAAAACTATTGAAAATAATCCAGTAGAAAAATAGGCAGAAAGTTCTCAGAAAACATTAATGGTTCTTAAACTATGAAGCTACTTAAATTCATGGAAAGAAGAAATAAGCGAAATGTAACTATACTCTGTCCAATACCAGGTTTTTCAGTTCAGACTGATCCAAAGGTGAGCACACTGACTGCTTCTCCAAACTCTGTTAGTGGGAGGCTAAACTGGTAAAACTATATGGAGAGCAATTTGGCAACAGCTATCAAAATGACAAACCACATTACTCTTTGACCCAGCAATTTCACATCCAGGAACTCATATCACATATAAACTGCATGTGTGTGGATGATTTATATGTAGGGTTATTTATTATAGCATTATTTGCAGTAGTAAAAAAGAGTGGAAATAAGCTAAATGTCCATTAATAGGGAACTACTGCAATGACTTGGAATATCTAAACAATGGAATACTGTGTGACTGTTAAAAACAAAACAAAAAGAATGAAAAAGCTCCCTATGTGATACAGAAAGAGCTCCATAATATATATTTAAAAATATATGTAGGGCTTCCCTGATGGCACAGTGGTTGAGAGTCCACCTGCCGATGCAGGGGACATGGGTTCATGCCCCGGTCCGGGAAGATCCCACATGCCGCGGAGCGGCTGGGCCCGTGAGCCATGGTCGCTGAGCCTGCACATCTGGAGCTTGTGCTCCGCAACTGGAGAGGCCACAGCAGTGAGAGGCCCATGTACCGCCAAAAAAAAAAAAAAAAA